CCCGTGCTCCAGAACGCCCCCGTCTGGGGCGGCTGCTGGGAAGCCCCCATCCCACGCCCCAGCCTCGGCCTATGGACCTCCAAGGCCAGCCCCCCAGCACCAGCAGCTCCTCCCCTCTGACCGACCCCTCTGGCCCCTCCAGTAACTCCCTGCGGACTGGGGGATTCCCGCTAGTCTCCCGGCAGGGCCAAATTGTGGTCGGAGTCGAGTCGTGTCCAGTCGGATCCAGGGTAGATCTGCCCGGATTCCAACTCCCAGCCAGACCTGCGGCTCCTCCGTGCGCAGCCCCTGGGGAGGAGTTGAGCGAAGAGCCCAGGTTGCCTAAGTCACCTGGGCCCCTGAGGAAGGTCTTTGGGAGTTATGGGGGAGGTGTCAAGGGACAGAGCTGGGGGACGGGCCTTGAACAGGACCTGGAAGGTAAGCTGCTAGGGGAGAAGACTGGAGAGCCAGGGGGCCTGGAGGTCAGAGGGCTGCCCCCTCCAGAGGCCCTGGTGCTTAGACTGCAGGACGCAGCAGCGTGGCTAGGATGCTACCATGGGGCCAGCCAGACCCTCCTCTCTGCCCCATGGAAGGATCATGGAGTCTCCCCAGCCCCCAACTCCCCTAGGGACCAGGAGACCCTCCTGCCTCCCCAGGTTCTTCCCCTGACTCCCACAGATGGCAGCTGAAGGACAGTGCTTCCACCTGACCGCACCTGACAGACACATCGTAAACACCTTATCTGTGGGCCACTGGGCCAGCAATTGCCAGCACCCCGCCCCCACCCAGCTTTTGGGTGAGGAGAGAGACCCTGGGAGGAGCTGACCCCCTCCCTTCCCCCATGGCCAGCCCTGGCCTGGGGCAGAGATCAGGGCCAGCTATAAGAGGGGCCAGGGTCGCCCTCACTCCCCTCTCCAGCCCCTTCTTCTGGGCTCCTATGGTCCGGGTTTAGGAAGAGCTGTGCTCCAGCAGGCCACCCTGGAGACCCCCATCTTCTCCCCTCCCCCTCAGGCAGGCACTGGAGAGAACTGTCCAGCCCCCCTCCTCCAAGACCCGAGCCTGGGGGTGGGGGGCTCCCTCCAGTGGACCCGGCTCTTCTGGGAGGAGGCTGCCCGCCATCTCAGTGGATTGATTAAAGTCATCGTGGAGATTTTTTTAACGTTTAATTTACCAGGCACGCAGCGCCGGTCAGAGCTGTCCCTGGGGAAATCTAGGCCAAGGGAGCAAAACAGAAAACCCCCTGCAATTGAACGGAGTTCTGACGGGATTAATTGCTGGACTCGGCCTCCAATCAGACCCCACGTGGCAATATTTCAGGGAGGCAGGAGGACACTGGGCTGGAGTGGTCAGATTCCTGCCTCAGGCGTGGAGAACCCTGAGCCCAGCACACCAAGTCTCCGGGATTGCTGGGGACCTTCGGAACCCCCCTGGTCCCACTCCACACACAAATGAGTCCGTCCTGGGCCCAACGCCCTGTGGCTGGCCTCCAGCTCCACCCCAAGCCAGCCTTTAAAAGAAGGGGCCAGTCCTTTTAGCCAGCAACTGGAGAGCTGGGAAGGCACCCCCACTCCCCCCTCCACAGTGCACCCCCGAGAACGAGCACGCAGCAGCCCTCTCTGTGCTGGTGGAAAGCTGGACCAGTAGGGAAGTGGACAATGAATTCTAACACGGGTCCTCCATGATAGTGGACGCAGGTGAAACCTGGGACTTCTTGGAAAGATGCCCCCGACACGTGTATGGCACGGTCAGGTTTGTCTTTCTAGAGATTTCTGCCCATAAAGCCTTGGACCCTTCCTCGGAGAAACACAGAGACTGGTAACAGCCTTTGCCTCTGGGAAGAGGAGAGGGTGGAGCCAGGGAGAGGCTTTCACTTCCACTTTATATCCCTTTGCGTCGTTTTAACCCTGGCTGTTAATATCTGCTAAGGAGATAAGAAAGTGTCAGAGTGCCTGCAGTCAAATGATCCGAGGCCCACGCACTAGGACCACCTCAGCATGGGACAGACCCTCACTCCCTCCAAGAGTGGAGAGAGAAAGAACCTTCCGCCTGCATCTGAACGGGGCCTTGAGACCCTCCTATGCTTCCGCACGCCTGGTCAGCTCAGCAGACTCCCCTCGGCACCCCTGCAGAGGCTGGGCTGGTGTCTATAGTGGGGGAAGGATGCCTCAGGAGAGCAGCCGGGGATGACAGCCCAGCCGTGTCCATGAGGGAAGCTCCTGGTGAGGCTGTGGTCTCCCACTCCTCGGCTCTGAGGGCAGCCTTCGGGCCGGGAGAAGAAGGCCGCCTTCGCACCAGCCGTCCTACAGGGGCACCTGAGTGCTGGCAGGAAGGCAGCTAGCAAACCCTAGCATCTACTGTGGACCAGACTCCCTTTTACCCACTTGACAATATAGGAGTGTTCTTGTGATCACGATTTTGAAGATGAGAAAACAGGCCAGAATTCGTCCCAGGCAGTCTGGTTGGAGAGTCTGTGCCCCTATGATCAAGAACCCCTATGTCCTGCTGCCTCTTCGCCCCCTTTGCCCCCAGGGCCTGGCCTCAGTGGCCTCAGGAGTGCAGTTGTGGAGCTGCGGGATGGAGGGGGCCCTCACCTGGCCAAAGACCGTCACCCGTCACCCCCACAGGGTGATCCCTCAGGGCACTGTGGGATCAGAGTTTGTTCAAGTAGAGAGGGGGACTGGCAGTCCGGCCGGCTCCCTGTAGAACGGGGACCCTCACTGTGCCAGCCCCACTGACCCTTCTGCTGTCTGCCCACCCCTGCCTGGCACCCCACGCCAGGAGGAGCCCAGAGGGACCCGGGCCGGGAGCGCTCAAACCACAGCAGGCGCTGTGGCTTCAGCACCTCGGCCAGCGCCAGCAGAGGGGCGGTGCTGCTCAAGGGCCCACCCCTCGGCCCTTTCTTGCAGGCGGTTGGGATGGGCTCCAGGAAGGGGGGCGGGGGGGGGGGGGGGGGGGGGGGGGGGGTGAGGGGGTGTGCGGGAGTGCTGGGTTTTCCGTTATTCATTTGCTCCCTCACTCACTCAGTTCAGTCAACCGGGAGTCATACTTGACCCCTGCTTGGTCTCGTCGGCACCCGTCCTATCCACCAGACCTCCTGTCCCCACTACCTCCGCAGTTTGTCCAGAGTCAAAAACTACCCTCCACGGTCTGCGCTGCCCAAGCCCCATCTCTGCCAACATCGTATTCACCGCAGTAGCCCCTAACGGAGGTTCTGCGACCAGGGCCTCCCCCTTCAGTCGGCTCTGGGCACAGCATCCTGGGGAGCCTTTAAGGCGGTGGGTGAGACCACACCCACTCTCCGCTCAAAACCTCTGTTCCCCATCTCTTTCCCTGTGAGCCCCGGTGACCCCTGTGCCCCGCAAGGCCTCCCCGACCTCCTGGCTCTGCTCCAGCCCCACGGGCTTCCTCAGCAGTGGGCCCTAAACCTTCCTGACTGGCTGTTCCTAAACACTGGGCCCACCCACCTTGGGGTGACGGCTTCTGATGTTCCCTCTTGAAGGGGTGCTGTTCCCCAGATGCCCACAGGGCTCTCTCTCTCCCTCCTCAGGTGTTTTCTAGTAGGTCACCTTAGCAAGGCCTTCCCTGCCCACCAAAGCTAGAACTCCAGCCCCTCCCAACATTTCCCAGATGCCCCTGGCCTTCATGTTCCTCCGTAGCACCTACCGTGAATGAGTATAAAAGTTTCTTCTTTGTCTGCTTATTGCCCATCATCCCCATTAGAATATCAGCTGCTTCCCTAGTCCGTGGCACAGAGGAGATACCCCCTGACATTTGTTGAAGAAATAAAGGCATGGGTGAATCCCAGGCGTGCTTTTTGTCGCCGATTCCTTTGTGAATTCCCATCACAGAGGGGCGCTTATCTCTCCAGCCCTCCCGGCCCCCAGCCTGGATCTCTGCTCTGGCCCAAATGTAAGCAATTCCTGATCAGAATGCTTCCCGGCTCTGACCCTCGTGCCCAGCCTG